ATCCTCAACTTTGCCAATGGACTGACCGTAGTCCACCGTTCTTCGGTGCATCGTAATGTCCATCGTTTTGCAACTTATCCTTCGATGGAATGCTGAAGATCCTGGCAGGATCTCCAAAATGTCAAGATTCAAATGCGGTTATCGCGGTTTAGACACAAAGTAATAAGACTGTACATAGTTTAAATTTTATTTAATAGATCTCGCAAACTGCTCAGACATAACTGATGTCATTACAATCCCAGAGACGCACACATCCATCGCCGATGACTAATTGTGGGGTCAAGTAAGCAAAGAAATATTTTAGGGATGGTCGTCATAACAAAATGAATGTAGAAAATATTAAATAGTCATATGAACCTCAATCCACGTACCGGATATCCGTAATATTTGAGGCTTGTTAAGTAATATTAAACGATATTCACAAAGTAAAAAATGGCGTTCATTGTGAATCTCACAATACGTGGAATAATATAAGACAATAAAATCAATATGGTATATTGACAGAATGAATGTGGAAAATTTTAAATTGACGTATGTAAACAACATTCAAATTAGCTGTACTCCGTAATATTTCAAGCGCGGTAGATATAATAATATGAAATTTTCTACAAAGAAAATGTTGTTGTTGAGAACCCCGTGATGCGTAGAGTGTTATTAGACAACAAAATCGATGCGATATGTTGACAGAATGACTGAGGAAAATTTTGAATGGTCATAAGTTATCCTTATTCCATATACCGGAAGTCCGGATTATTTAATAGTATACGATATTTACGGACAAAATAATGGCGTTCATTGCGAATCTCACAATACGTAGGATAATATAAAACAATAAAATCGATATGGTGTGTTGTCAGAATGAATGTGGAAAATTTTGTATTTGCATAAGCAAACAACATTCCACGTTGCTATAATCCGCAATATATCGGGCGCAATGGATAATATCAGATGATATTTATGTACAAAGAAATGGTGGACTATTTGTATTCCGTGATGCGTAAAATATTTTTAAGCCATAAAATCTATATGACCTATTGACTGAATGAATGTAGAGAAATTTGAATGATCAGATGTAAAAAACATTCCACGTCGCTGTACTTCGTAATATCTCAGGCAAAGTAGATGATATTTAGAATATTAGATGATATTTATGTATAAAGAAGTGGTGGTCATTGTAAACCCCGTGATAGA